GACTGTTATGTYCCCACTTTTACAGGCTCATGAAAATAATCCACTGAGTATGGTTCGTCCCCCTCTTATTTCTGATAAAACACGTTGCTGTACCCCCCTGTCTACTGTCCTAGGTATAAAAGAAGTAAAATGACTTACTTGGGAAAACTAAGTTTATTTATAAAGCCACTTACCGAAATAATAAATAAGTAAGAAATGTGAGCAATACACCAACCAACGAGATTCCACATCCAACGTACGTGATGATACTCAAAGCAAACGCATGYTTTGTGTAGGCTTTCGTGGASGGTTTAGGTGTCCCGGGMGAAAAGAGAACAGCAAAACTCGTCAAGTGGTTACAACAGCACTCAACGGTATCGTCATCTACATCGTCGWTCWTCTCGCAYACCTTGCAACCGACATCAGACCATTGACTTACTATAAGAAGGAATTCCGATTTKGAAGAAAGATGAGAATTAAAGACTTTTATTGCCTTTGTTACAAATCATAGATAGATTCTAACTATTTATAGTCCTGTGCAATCGCTTTGACGCATTGCACACATTACAACAATTCATGATCATGGAATAAATACCTGTGGCCAATTGGTGTATCATCAAGTTTTGATTTGATTGTCAATTGTCTTTCCGTACTTACCGTCCTCTCTCCAGAAGACACAAGACGAATTGACAGTTTGTTCATTGTCTTCTTTTTCTGGTTTTGGAAACCTCAGAACGACAGGCTCAAGCAGATTGGAAGTATCAGTGTTGAACACACTACTTGACAACACTCGTTGACTTGGCTGGCTTGCTTCACTTTCGTTTTGTTCTTGTTCTTCATCTTCATCTATCAATGGCTGGAAAAACTTGTTGTTTGCATAATAGATGAAACCAACTCGAACAGAATTTCTTTTGGTGTTTCTTAGCAGTGATGAAGGGAGTTTTATCGAAGTTTTTGTTTCCTCAGATTTCGTGACGGGGAAACCACCCTTTGAGACAGCAAATGCGATTCCTTGAAAGTCTCTTTTAGTGACTTCATTTACTTGTAATACAAGGTTTGATGTGTTAAACACCCTCGAGGCCTTGCCTTTTTCCATGGGAACATTCTCTGCAAGGATGTCTAGTGTCGTGGTTAGCCTGCAATAAAAACGTTTAAATACTTGCGTGGTTCCGTTAGTTTATTATGATTCTGATTTACTTACTTGGAAGTGGCTGYTTCACTTTCACCGAGAGTTGTCTTGTTCATGTTCATAATTGTGTCAACAATATCAAGGACTARGCCAGCGGTCTTAGGAACAAAAATATACATTAATCAACAAARGCAATACCCAGACTTTAAAGATTGGCCATTATGCAGGCAAAAGCGTTGTAATGGCCTCATAACGTTATGAATAACTGTGAACTACCTCATTGAGTCTGTCTTTGTTTGTAATGATATCTCGTACGAGATCAGCAGCAAGATCAGCATCTGATTCTGTTAGAGATTCGACTTTATAAGACTTGATTAGTTTCGTAAGATTCTTGGCAACTTCTCTGGCATTTTGGGGGTTGACACGAATCTGGAGAGAAATTTCAAAAAATAGGACGTTGTCTACAATATCTGCGTCTGTTTTTAAGTTTTATGTCAAGTTATCATCATGTGTCAATATCTGCAAACCTTTGATAACTTGTTGAGATCATCTGTCTTTTTGGAATTAAATCGACAGTGTTTTTCATCCGGGACACTCCATGTCGCTCCTCGAATAAAGTCACCATTGCACGAACGACTCGCCATGGACCTTAGSGACTTRTCAYTTGGACCATAGGGACACCCAACACTACTTGACTGACCAGGAACTCTTGATGGCCACGTAAAAACACCTTTAAAACTTTCTTTACCTGTTTTTTCTTCGACACAGATTTCTGCGGCAAAGAAAATGAAATTCAGCCTCACCATTTACAAAATATGCCAAACACACTTCGACCTGCTGACTATAGAGCCATCTCCACGTTTGTTTTACTCTTGGCCCTAGTCTTCTATCACTTTCGGCCTCTGTAGGCGTTGGGGTTCCAATGGACACTTTGCACCAAATTTCACGTAAAATCACTTGACTCTTCTCTCTACCTCACTTTTTGAGCGTAATTTCTCCGCGCTACTGGATCAATAAACAACAGGTGAACATTTTTACCTGAATCTATGACCTCAAGAGTTTTCCATTGCACCTGCTTTAGTTCCCGACCTCGTCTTGCTGCTTGTCTTAGTGTTGTTCTCAGGTTATTGTAATAGTCAGTTATATCTTGTTGATTCTTTTGACGATAAATCGTACATTCCACTTGAACTCGATTTCTTACACTCCTGTTTAAAATGAATATCTAGATATTATCTATTTTGAAAATGTAATAATTTTTATCATTGTAAAGGGATCGGGAATTTACAATACTACAATGGCAAGATCGAGGTATTGTAAATAGTGTGGCGGTAATGGTCATCCTGCGCGATGTTGTGCAGTCAAAGTACTTATAAAGACACTGCTTAAAGAGTACACTACTCACCAGGTCTTGCAAGCACCTTGACTGTATTTGATCGATGATTTATCGGTGAGATATCTAACAATTTGATCGCACGGCATACAGTACTTCTGGAAAAAAAAGCAGAAAAGATTTAGATTTTATGACCAAAGTTTGTGGAGTACAATATCGACATCCCCTCCTGTACGGGGAAGAGAAAGAAACGGCTTTTAACAGTAATATTACGACAACAAACAAACTCACATCTGAACGTGGCGATCTCGACTTGCTTTTCAATTGAAATTTCACTATTGAAGTAAAATAATCTGTAAGGAAATACAATTCATGRTTAGTTTTCTTAAAATTGAATTACACGTCTTAAAYATGAAAAAAGTGGTTTCCTTTGACAGCGGTATATCTTTTGGTCTTTACYGCCATCTACCTTAATTACTTMTCCTTCGCTTACAATATAATTAATGTTGATGTATGATATATCTCGTGTTCTCTCGATTTTCGTACCTTCAAGAACAATCAGTGCCTTTTGACTTTGCACTTGAACCCCATAGGGCGTGGTYGCCTTGCACCAGTAGTACCCCTGGTCAGCGGACATGACTACCAGA